CCCCCCCCAGCAGAAGGAGGGGGAGAGAATTGCTGGCTGCTGTCAGGTGGAAGCAGGGCATGAGGAAATTTTGTTCCTCATAGAAACGGTGCTTTTGTGTTGATTTTTGTTGTGTTTTGGAGTATTTAGCAGAGTTACAAGTTGAATTAATTTCTAAGTCTGCCTTTCTAAAGGTATGCTTAAGGTCTTTCTAGTCCCAACAACTAAAGTACATTTCAGAGGGGAAGAATTTTGGCAAAAACAGCAGATACCATTCCACCTTAATATTTGACTTCTGTGTTTATTTTATCTAGGAATATTTTTGCTAAATTTTTACTGTAATGTTATTCATGTCTGTGAAGTCCTCTTGTCTATATAATTTAAGCCAGTACTTCCAGAATGTTGTTGCAAGCACAGTATTTCCAGTGTGTATTCACAGAAGAGGCTAAAAATATCTGTCCTGATGGTTCTCTGAAGCTGAGTTTTAGCCATGAACTGAGGTCCGCTTACCAGATACACATAGAGTGTTAAGATTAAAATTATGTAAGTATTTATCACTTTCAGGATTTTACAGTTGCAACTTTTATTGGCTGCTTCAGTCTTGTGGTGCAAAAGCTGCCTGCCTTTTTAAATACAGAATTTTAAATGGATGCAGTTGTGTTAAAATCTGTAATTCTCCCTCTTCTATTCACTGATGATATGATTTAAAATGCTAGAGTATACCCATCCAAGATATGTTTTTGTATGATGTAAAGTGTTGTTTTGGGGATCATGTCATAAAGCATGAATATACCAAAAACCAATTTTTTTCCCATGTTGGGTCTCTGGATTTAAGTTTCCAGTGCCATTACTTTGGATATTAAATTGAATCTCTCCATGTACTAATGACAGTTTTTTAAGAGTGCCAGCAGTACATTTACAGATGAGCAAATTATACCGGTTTCACCTCTGCTTCCCAGCCGGAGGAGGTGAGCGTGGTCGGCAGCGCTGAGGAGCTGGTGTTTCTGTATAAGCTGTAAGGAGTTATTCAGTACTGAGAGGTTCCCACTGAAGTCCTTTGTGCTGGCCCCGAAGAAGATCAAGTTGCAATTGCAGAGCTTTAATTTCTGTGCTTTATGGTGGAGTCCCAAGACTGCTCTGCCTGGGCAGTGTGGTACAGCTCCGACTTGAGAGAAAACAGTGTGAAGTCTTCTCAGTTCCTTTCAAAATATCTCCTACTGATTTTTTTCTTCACTCTCACACCAGTTTCTTATCAGCGCAACCCGAGGTGAAGCAAGATGAACTTTGTTTTTAACGGAATAGGCGTCCACCTAAATATTGCACTGGAATGTCTGGTAGCTACTACAGCACAAGATCTTGAGGGACGTGAAGGATGTGGTATTTATGGAGTGTAGCTGGAGAGGCTTTGGTGCCATGTCAGACTTGTCTTAAAAGATCGCACATTGGCCAGCACCTGCTAACGATCAGACAAAACTCTGAAGAAAGCAGAAAGCTGTGGGTGTTCCCGTGGCCCAGCCAGGCAGACTTCCCCGTGCTCCCTCCCCGCTTCCCGGCAGGAGACCCCAGCCGGTTCCTCTTCCTTCACCCCAACCTGCTCTTCATGCTTCCCTCTTGGATCCTCCCTTAAGTCTTTGCCAAAAAATAAAATTTCAGTGCCAAATATTTCTCTTCTTGTAGTTCTGTTTTTCTCAAAGTTTTCATTAACTGCAACAAGATTTCTCACTCTTTGTAGCATTTCTACTGCAGAAACATGTTTCATAATTCTCTTCTTTTTTTTTTTTTCAATAAGGAAAAGATTACAATACACTGAGCAGTCTCTGAGGGGCAAGCATGAAGCAAGACATGTTATGAAGGCAGGAATAATTGGCTCCTGATCCTTCTTCAGTAAAAGGATTAATTTGGGTAGGGCAAGCATATGGGAGTTGAATTATTTCACTCCTACGTGAAACTTGTACAAATGCAAAGCTAAAATTGAATGCTTGCTAGATCACATATGATTGATTTTCAGTAGATCTGCCAGAATCTTAATACCTCATTTAAAAAGTAATTATAAATCAGTATTTGTTGATATTATCAATCTAACATATATATTTCTTTGAAAGTTCCTGATTTGGTTTCTTTCAGTTTTAAGCAGTTCCAAGCTGTAGCTTGAATAGATGGTTGGCTTTTTGATGAGGATATATATTAATCTTTGACAGGATATTGTACTTTTTGGTGAACTAGACACTCAACCAGGGAATGGAAACTCGAGGGGAATGTCTTCTTGTATAGTAATACATTTGGAGTTAATTTTAACTAAGTCAAATAGATTTTAAAACTACCAAGACTTTAATGGATTGAGGGTGCCATCTCGTGGTTGAGGAACTAAGTTTATAACTGAAAACAAAAAATGCCTATTTCAGCATCAGGGGGGTATAATACTTTTATTACTGAAAAATATTAATCATAATCAGATCTTCTGTAATGAACTACTTTTTTCCTAGCTCCTATAGACAAGGTAGGTGCTCAGGCAAACATCTGTAATCCTCAAAAATTTTTGCATCAGCTTAAATGTAAATGATTGCAAGTATGTAATTATTTTTCACTTGCTTGTTTTGTTCTGGAATATTATATACAACATATAATATGTCTTTGGAGGAGGTCACAGCTTCAATAACCTTCTCTTCCCTGAGCAAGATATCATGATATACTTCCATTATGGAAATGCTAGTTTTCCTTTTGTTTTTACTTTGATTAAGCAGTAGATCATTTTGGCATAGACCTGCCTGAAAAGCAGATTTCCAGGAAAAAAGGTGGGTTTTACTACTTTCTGGTGCTGTTTATTTCTTTAACAAAACTATCTCTATATTATTTTTTTCTTTATACAGATTATTTAAAGAATCTTTTAGAAGAATCTGCTGACTATAGGGACACACAAGGTAAATGTCTCTTTAGATTAAAGAAACAACAGCTTATGTACATATGATAATGTTTCTAAATTTTAAATGCATGCAAAATGCTAAGCCAGTAATAGAAATGCTTTCTATTTTGTTCTAAGTTTCTCAGCAGAGATACTGAAAGATTGCACCCTTGTGTTTCAAAAACATTGGGAGCTGACAGTGGTATCAGCTCACCCTTGAGCTGAAACCAAGAGATAAGAGTGAAGTTCCACAGGCAGCTTAAGCAGATATTTTGGGCACTGCTGTTGAAAGAGACAGTCCTTGCATCTGTAGACCTTTCATTCATAGGCAGTCTGGTCCACCAGCTGCTCTCCCCTATCCGTGAACCTTTCTGGCCTCCTGCTCTCTCTTTGCGCCAGGACAAGTGTTTATGTGGTGGGAGTGAACAACATCCAGTAGCTGCTCTGGGTTATATTTAACCTGAGGAGTTCTGTCACAGGTTGCACAAACACAAGTGACTTCCACCAGTTTGCCTGCAAGTAGAGGGGAAGGGGACAAGAGAAAATGAGAAGGGATAGTTGGTGATGGAAGAGGACTTGACTACTTGTTTCATGGTAGTTTGGGATTAAGCTGTTTTACCTTGAGTGTAGCAGTGGAATGCACATTCAGACTGTTTCCTTCTTCCATGTGTGTGCTTCAGCAGTACTAAAAATGCTCCCAGTTGATGTTTCCATTTCATTTGCACGAGCCCCTGTCACTTCAGTCTCTTTAGCGACATTTGTGCAACCCTGTTATCTTTAGGAGAGTTGTGCAGATGTAGGTGATTGGATGCAATAAATTAGTTCCTTCAGTGCACTGAGCCAAGTTTGCTTTCTTATAGCTTTGTCTGCTGATACAGTACTGTAAAATTTATGAGTAAATATCTTTCTTAAGATATCTAGACATATTTGTTTGAGTATAGTGAAAATATAAGCCAAAAGTATTTTAAATAGTGATTCTTTAAGAGATAGAAAAGTTTGTCTTGCACTTTTTATGGCTGTGAACAAACTAGTGATTGCACTGTACATTAAATAATTGACGACTTGAAAAGTAGGCAACTTAAATATTTTACTTTACATTTTCTTGTGACTCCTCCAGCTTGTGTTTTTTGTAGTTGTACCTTTCACAGTATTTTTCTCTCCCTTCATACATCAAAGATAAAAGCAGAATTGTAACAATAACAGTGTTAATTTTATGCATTTGACATGTTTGCTAGTCTATCTTTGAAACTGGGTAAGAAGAGAAAATCTAATCTTTACTCACCAAGATATTTCTGGTGATAATTAAGTTTTACTTAGTTCTGACTTTGCTTAGTTGTTTAATTCCATTGGGGAGGGGGGATGGGAGACGGACATGGGACTAGGTTTGGCTAAGGTTAGTATTCTTGGAAAAAAAACAATTCTTCCTGATGACCTTCATTTGAATACATTATTCGAACTAAGTGGTATAAGAAGTGGAATGCTTTTCCCTGCCAAAGAACACTTTGTTTATGGACTTTGACCCTATAGATTATTTTATGTTGTTGTTTAGATTCATTTAGTCTTGGCCGTATAAGTAGCCCTAAGATCCTGGAACTTTGCTTTCAATAATCAGCAAATTTTCTTTACCATTTTTCAGACTTTCTTGAAGTCAATAAGTAAAATTTTAAGTGAATAGCTGATAGATGAAGGAAAGCATAACAAGAAATTCAGGTGCTCATTCCTGTCTTTGTGAATTTAGCTAAATTTCGCTTCATTTTCTTTCAAGCGGATGGGGAGCTGGGGAGTGTTTTGACTGGAGCAGCTCCAACGTTTCCTAGTAGGAGACCACCCATTATTTTTCAGCAGGCTCAGTTGACATCATGACATCTATACCTAAACTTAAGTTTTGATCAAATGCTTGATCTGTGCTATGCCTTTTAACTGTTTGACTCCTGTCCTTGTATTGTCTTTATTCATGAAAATCTTGAACAAAAATTCTCCTTAGATTGACTGAGGAGAAGCTTTTTGTTTCCACCTCAGGTTAGTTTCTTACATGGCTTGATGACCTTTGGAAGCTTTCAGTTCAGAAAGCTGCACCTTTTAACATGCTTTCTTTCTGAATATCAACTCAACAATAAGGAAAGTATATGCATTCTACAGTACTAATACTCTAATGAATCTGGAAAAAAAATCCAAGGCTTTGGTTTTACATGGTTTGGTAGGCTTCTCTGTGGACTTCAAAGCAAATGTAGTTCCTTTATTTGAAGTGCCTGGCCACACTTCAGTTACTCAGAAGGTGCCAAATGCTGACTACATTTTATCAGAGCAGTTCTAGCTTTCAATTAAATGAGGTGTTTTTTTTCTGCATGAGTAAATTACAGGGTTTTGGGCAAGATCTTTGGATGGGTTCTGTCTCATATACACTCATTGTTCAGTGATTTACATAATCCTTTTATGTAACCCCTTTTTACAGTTACACTTTAGCGAATATTACAGTTGAGTTGCTCGTTATTAAATTTCAGTGCTTAATAACATCCCTCATATTTGGTAACTCTTCTCTTTCAGAGATTTTTTTTTTTTTATTCTGGTATTAAAAGTTTGAAGTGTAGAAATTTGAACTTTATAATATTACCTTGAGATGCAGCAAAACTAAAGGCAGAAGAAAGAAATCACAAATATTTGGATAATTTTCCTAGGTGGTCTTCCATAACTGGCACTGAAGGCAGTTGTGTAAAATGGAAAAAAAATTAATCTCTGCATAGTCTCAGTTAGAATGTTGTTAAGTTTTCTGCGGCAAGTAGAGACTTTTTGAAATTGAAGTAATTCTTTGTGTGAGAAACTAGAATTTAATTTTGCTTGTGGACTGTTTTGATTAGCTGTAAGAAATGATTGACACTGTTGCTTGAAGCAATGACTTGCAAGGGCACACTTATTAAACCATGATTCAAAGACTCTGGGATCTGTGGGAGGTGCTCCTGAATGCAGTGACTGTACAGTCAGGTCCCTGAATTTTGGCATGATAAAGAAGGGCAATATTGTACCTGTGCTTTACAGACTAGTTAGCATTGGTATTATGTATAATAAAAGCATGATTTCTTCATCCTTCAGATGCTCTAGCGGTTGTCATAGAAGTTGCAAACCATGCCAATGACATCATGAAGCAGGGAGTAAGTATTATGATTTATGAAGCTGGTTGAATAAAGCTTTTTTTCTCTTTTTTTTTTTTTTTTTTTAAAAAGAAAAGGTCATGGATACAAGGGCAATTACTTACCTTCTGCTTTTTCTCCCTGTAGGATAACTTTCAGAAACTCATGCAGATTCAGTACAGTTTAAATGGACACCATGAGATTGTACAGCCAGGAAGGGTAGGTCCTACAGATAGCATTCAGCAGATTGCAGTAAAAGTGCAGCACAGATGATATGCAAGCAAAGTACTGAAGTTGGCATACACTGAGAAGAAAAATGGTCCATCGCTTAATTATTTGGTTCTGACAGTTAAATGAATACTGACTCTCCATATGTGTGGGGGTTTTCTAGACACTTATCTGATGAAAACTTACGATTTTTGAACATAATTCCTTGCCAGATCTTGCAGGCAGGTTTTTTCCTCAAGCTTAACCTTCTATTTGTCAAGGTTTCAAGTGCAGCGTGGAATATTGTAATGCAGCCATTCACACTTGCTTGTAGGGTTTTTTTTTAGGGAAACCTAAGGATGAACAGCCTTTCTCAAAAAGTGCACCTTGAATCCCAAAACTTTGGCAGCAATTCTAGTGTAATAATAGTAATCATCATCATAATAGTAGTGAAGATGAAAAAGTAATCTCATTTGTACTGCTTGTGCCCTGAAAAGCAAGGGTTTTAATTGCTTGTTTTAATTTGCTAGGTATTTCTGAAAGAGGGAACACTGATGAAGCTGTCTCGGAAGGTCATGCAGCCACGAATGTTTTTTCTGGTAAGATGCTGCGTATGTGCCTAACACTAGCGCAATCTTAAGTAGTTGAAACATTACACCGCAAAGATAAGTAACTAATAACTTCAGGTAGGGGAAAAAATGACCAGTTGCTGTTCTACTTGCTTGGTTCTAACGTAGAGACATCATCTGTTGCATATGCACTAATTTTAATAGAAGAACATTTCTCACTAAAACATACTGTTTTGAACAATACTCATTTAAAATTTGAGCGCTTTTACAAGACAGCGTTATCTGTGGTAGTGTGAAAACTGAAAGTTACACCACTCCACTTAGCCGTACCAGATGTTAAGCTGTACAACTCCACCGCTGCTGTTGCACCCTTCCCTCCCTCCCTCCTGCTCTCCTTCCCCTGCACCAGCCCACCCGCATCCCGAGCTTCTCTTCCTGCCTCTGCTGATGTTTTGTTTTGAAACTTCTGTGCAGCTCTGAAGTTTCTGTTCCCACTTGAACCTTTTGTTTATCTCTTCTGTTTACATAGTAAAGCAACTGTTGCCGTGTGTAATTTGTGGCATTATTGGTCCAGGCCTGGCTGAAATCTGTCTTGTAGTTACTGTAGTACGAATAAATATTTCCCTAGGTAGTTGTGGAGTATGTATTCTAAGCTTGCAAGTGCCTGTCTTATGCTCTGGAGATGACTTTGTAGCATATAAAACATGGAGATAACTGCAAATGGTATAGGTTAAGGCAACAGTCTAAAAAAATCTGGTGCTATCTCGAGCTGAACTTCCCAAATCAGATGTTGCTAATTTGAGTGGCTCTAGCTCAGATTTTCTTTGTTTTGGTTTTTTGAGGGTGATGGTTTTGGTTTTTTTTGTTGTTGGTGTTTTTTGGTTTTTTTTTTTTAAGATACAAAAAGTGCAGGCTAGTGTTTATTCCTTTAGACACTTAAGCAGTGATTTTTCCATTGATCATGTTGTGAAGATTTAGTAAGGCTCGTGAAACATTTGGTTATTTTGCAAAGAACCTCACAGTGAAACCTTATGAGACGGTTCCGTTTTCTGGTCTGTGTTTATGTGCAGTAAATGAAGTTTGGATCCATGTGTTGAACAACACAGAAAATAAAAAAAAGTCTTAATAGCTGTGCAGTAAGTGCACTGAATGAAGCCAAGTCTGGTAGAACAGGAAACAAACAATAGATGCACATTTAAACGGGTAAAATTTGTATGCTACATATGGATAAATTTGTCCTTATAAATTGCTAATCTTAATTCTGCTATCTGTGAGTTTCTAGAATGTTTTGCTTTGAAGGGTTAATTCTAATATACTTTGAAAGTAGTTTGTTGCACAGTATAGCTATGTACACAAGAAGCATTTTTGTCCTGTTTGACAGCCTGTTATATGACATCTGTGCAGTGTTTATTCATGTGCCAAATGTATATTTACACAAGGACGATATAAATAGACACCTATTGTTATCTATTAATACGTTAAAATGTTTCTTGGTTTCTAAGTGGAATAATAGGAAGCAGAAAATGCCCTTCTGGACAGTTGATCTCCATGCTGTATGAGTTCTGTACTTCCAGTAAAATGCATCTGAAATGATCTGTCGCTAAACAGTTTTTTTTACTTAAAAAGTATTGCTTCTATATTACAGTTCAATGATGCCCTGTTGTATACAACTCCAGTTCAGTCAGGGATGTATAAACTCAACAACATGCTGTCGTTGGCTGGAATGAAGGTGAGTCACTTGTTAAAATGAGTCTTTCTCCAAATCTATTTAAACTCAGGCCTTCAAATTTTCAAAATGCAACCATGTTTATTGTTGGAAAGAGATATTAAAGAAGCTTAGAGAAATCCCACAGGTTTAATGTTTCTTGCATAATATGGCTGTGGGATTGCTGTCTAGGTTTCCCTAAAAAACTCTGTTGCCACAGGATCATCTTGCCTGCGTTTCATTCAGTATTGTCTGACTCTGAAATAGTCTGCCTGCTTATTTTTTGTATTGTATTTTGTTTAGACTGCCTCACTTTTGCCTTGTAACTGCTATTTATTGCCCACACCCAGAGATTAAGCATCTCTGCCTGATAAACTTCTGGTGGACCAGATCTCCTCCCTAGTTTATAGAGATTTGCTAACTGTGGGGGAAGATAAGGCTTTTGTTTCTGAGCCTGTGTGAAAAGCATCAAAGTTAAGCCCTGAGCCCCCTGCGTAATGATAAGGGACACGCATGCCATACAGTGACACAGTCTCTGATGTGGCAGTTAGTGGGAACAACAAACTATTGCCTCGGGAACTTGTCACTGGTCCTGTCAGAGAGTCCAGCTGCAGTACAGACTTGATGGCCAGGTCCAAGCTTTTGCAGGCAGAGCTGCAAAATTTCTTCTGCCAGCAGATGTCTCGTGGTGGCTCAGAACCCCTCTTAACTTTTAAACCTCGTTATGTTTGAAAGTTTGTAGCTCACAAGGATCAGCAAGGTGGTCCAGCCCTTGGGGATATGGGGCAGATGCCCACTGTGGGGTGCACCAGTAGGCTACATCTTGTACTGCAGCAGCAGCAGCGGTGCCTTTTTTTGCCCACTTTTGAGATTTTTCTCTCCAATGTACCGCTTCTGCAATAAAAATGTAAGAGATTTTACAGTAAGTAAAAGCAACTATAAAAGTACCATTTCAGTTTCAATATCAAGTTTTATCTCTTGACTGAAGGTTAAAAAGCCAACCCAGGAAGCATATCAGAATGAACTGAACATTGAAAGCGTAGAGAGATCCTTCATTCTTTCAGCAAGGTAAGTCTCAGAAGTGAATAATGATTTAAAAACCGTGTGATTTCAAACAGGCCACATAAGCTTTTTATAGCTTATTTTGCACTTAGGTAATGAAAAGTTACCCTTGGCTAGAATAATTACAGAATAGAGGGAGTTGACAGATGGGGTTCTGGAAATAATGTAGGCTTTGTTCTAATTTGCTTTTGTTCACATTCAGAATCTGATTTTGAACATTTAAGTTTATTTTTAAATGGGCTGTCAGAAAGGAAGCCTGGTCACATGTAATAGGTTTCATAGATACCATATGAATGTGCAGGCTCTAATACAGTTGACCCTGACTAGTAAGGAAGACTGCCCACTGTGAAGTGTGGATAGAAGCACAAAAGCTATAGTAAATGTGGCTGGTATTTGGTCTTAAGGCTGCAGCTGTAGGGCTTCTGCTATCCTCAAGACAGTGAACTGTTTATCAGATCGAACTAAACTCCTCCTTTTCAGCTTAGATACACCTTCAGAAACTTTAGGTAAATTGAAATATTATCCTCTTACTGCCTTTCCTTGAGAGGAACAAGAATTAAAATAGTTTCACTTCAATTAATTTTAGGGTTTGCTTTTCAATAATTTTTTGTTTTTCCAAAGTTACTGGGATGGTCTGTCAGTGCATTAACAGTTCAGAATATGAAGCATGACAATACATTTTTATATTATTATTGGTAACTTACCTAAATTGGAAGAAGTCATCCTGGTGTTCTAGCTGAAATGACAGTGTAATTGAAACAAGAAATGGATCTCAGTGAACCTGAAATTATGAAAATGGCAGGAATTGCTGGAATGGTGCTTCTCTTTAGCAGAAAACCAAATTCTCTGTGTAGCAGCAAAAGTATACATGGCCACTAAACCAGAGCAGCTCTGGTCTGCCTTCACCAAGATGCCTTGAGCAAAGACCTGATGTTGTGGATTATTGTTTTTACTGTGTCTGAGTTGGAGTTTTATATGTTCTGACATTTGTGACAGTGCTGATACCAATGAAGACAGACATGTTTTCTCTTTTGTTTAGCAAAGCTGAGCAAAGGCAGGCTGCTTCTTTTTGTGTGACCTTGTAAATACCAACATGAGGATGTCTGCACAAAGACAGCAGTATTGCTAGCTGAGGGGTAGACCAAGGTTAACCTTGTCAAAGTAGCCAAAGGAAGGAGCTCAGTTGTCTGAGCAGTAGAGATTTTTAAGAACAGACTTGAAAGGAGTATTTTTGTATTTTTAAAATAAATTTTTTTCTTATGGTTCTTTACACATTGGGAAAAAAAGGATGCATTTCACAGTTTAGGGTATGATTCTGCTCCAGTATAGTATGAGCAGCTCCATGCTGCTTAGGTGCCTTGGTGACTGGGTGTCACACAGATACATGAAGACATTTATGGGATTGCAGTAGGCAGTGTGGATTTATCTCTGCTTGACTTGAAAAAGCATTTCACTTTTAATTAAGTCATTTTAAAAAAATTGTAAAAAATCATTGGAACTTGTGAAAAGATTATCATCTTGAAATACAACTTACCTTTTTCTCCACAAAACAGGATAAACTTGTCGTTTTGAGGAACTGATTAAGTGGTAGATTAAAAGCAACTCCTGTGAAATACATAATGGTCTGCAGGGCAAAACCCCTGTCTATAACTTTTCCATCAAATTGGGCTGAGTTTATGACATGGTTTTGTCTTCACCTTGAAATTATTGGAATTACCCTTATATTACCAACTAAAGCTGCTCTGATTTGCTCTTTCTTTTCTAGTGTTGTTGATCTTGCATCTTTGGAGATCGTTCAGCTTTGTTATTTTTATACTTGCTGGAAGCTATGCGTGTGCAAAAGCCCTAAGCTACACAACAGTGACAGTGAGAGGTTGCTTTTGCTTGGGAGGAAGGAGGTTCTGGGGGCCCCAGCTGTAAATGGCAGTCTTCAGATTCTTATCTGTCTGTAAGCGAGACCTGGGTCTGTTCTGGTGTAGGAGAAAAACTGGCAGCAATAGGTGTTTGCATATATTTTTTCCCAATTAATTATATTTTTCCTATTGATAAATATATTGGATGTGAAGAGAACCAGTGACTTGTCAATACAGACTGCATCTTCCTTACAGACTGCATCTTCCTTTTGATGATACCTCATTCTAACAGCTTCTTGGGTCCTATGTGGTAAAAAATTTTAGTTACAAAACTGTTCACATCAATCTTACAGACACTGGAGACAAATTTCACTTCTGTGTTTTTTCAAATAAGCATTGTGGAGTGTACACCAAAGAGATTCTGAAATGATCCTGGGGGCAGAGACGGGGAGGGGAGCAATTAAGCTGGTGAAAAATTGCTAGTAATAAAAAGTAAGCCAGTTAATAACAGAAGTATAGATTAATGCTTAGACAAGAGTCTTTGTCACTTCAGGTTTAGTTTTACTGACAGCACTAATATTCTGTTTTATCTAGTCTGGGTTGAGGTTTCAGTTTTCCAGGGCTCTCTGTAGGAATGGGTATTGTTTTACAGGGTACAATGCAGTATTGTACTAGAAATAATTTCCTAATCAGAGAAACAAGTTAGCGCATCTGCACGATACAGCGCTGTACAGAAGTAAAGCTCTGGTCCTGAAAACAACACTCGCGCCAGGCTGACGGTCTGAGGCCAGCTCAGTAAGGCGAGGGAAGAGCTGCCCCAGGCAGACATAGCTGCATCGCCTCCCCTGACACAAGCATAGCTCATGCCCGACTAGCTCGGCCGGGTGAAGTGCCCTGAGGCTCTGAGCCTGAGAACAAGAGGGGTATAGTCGTGTGAGCCCTCCTGGGACCACTGGGCAGCTGCGATGTGTGCCCCTAGCACACACGTTTGCCAGTAATAACAATTGCTCGGGCTCTCTGCAGTCCAGTTAAAGGTTTCTACTGTTTTAAAAAATCTTAAATAAATAAAAAATATTAATAGTTTAAAAAAAAACCCTAAGAAAGCCCTGCAATCTTAGTAAACCAAATGACTTCAGAAGCACGCAACAGATACAGTGAGGGTGGTGGTAGGGCTGTGCAGCTGTGGGGGAGGGCTGGGAGTGACAGCAGAAGAAACACTGCCTATTTTGCTGCAGAAAACCATGACATCAGTTCAGTTGCCGATGGCACTGCCTTTGCTTTCAAGTTCTGAAGGACTACAAACAACCCTAAAGGCTAGCACTAGCAAATCTACCAAGTGTGAGCTCCCTAGTGAAATATTAGGGTGTAAGCCACGTAGCTCTTTGTGCAAGCAGCCCTATATGTGATCTCCACATGATCAGGAGATGCTTAATCTCCAAAAACTGTGCCAACTTTAAATGTAATTATTTAATATAGTTTTAGGAACCTAATTAAATATAACCAGATTTTGAAAAAGCCGAAGGAGTTGATTAGAGTTATGAATGTTACATAGCTAATGCAGACCAGTTGTTCTTACTGGATGAGGAAGCAAAGGTAAATAAACTGAACAAAACGTTCCACTCAGAGTGTGAGATATTGGGACAGACAATAATACCTTGCTTTGCCCTTGCTTGTATCTTATTTACTCTCCTTTTGTTCTGATTTTGTTGCTCTGTGCGCTAGATGTTTGTGGGTGTTTTTTTCCCTCATGCCTCACAGGCTTCCCCCATGTTTACCTTACTGTATTTGTGCTCTCTGAATCTGTATAGTACTCGATTTCATCCAGTTCAAAACCCCAGCTCAATGTATTTTCCTTAAAGGTTCAAAGATGATCAAAGCTTCCAAATTCACCTACAAAAGCCATTAAACAACAATTGGTGTTGCACGCTTAATTTGTGTAAATCATTGCTTTCCTCTTCCCTTACTTTCCTTTTTCTATATTCATCATGTTCAATTCCTTGGTTTAAAAAAATAATTTATTTGATACTACTTAAGAAGTGGGGAATAAAAAAAAATGTTGGTGGTAGATGCTGGTTTAAATTTTAGAAGCCCTTTTTAAGCTGGCGTGGCATCTTAAGTCGTCCAGCTGTTCCTCTGCCGCAAAACTGCTCTTGCCTTTGCCGCCTTTGCCTTCCTTCCAGCACCCTCCATGGTGTTGGCACAAGTAGTCATTCAGCTGCATGAGGAACCCAGTCGGTAAACTGATCCAGAGGAAGGGCAGGTTTTAATACGGGTTTGTTTCCCAGTCCAGCCCACCGTGCATACAGCCCAGTGCAGAGCCATGTGGCTTCTGGCACAAGGGAGAAAAAAAGACCTAGTGAGAAGGCGTAGAGTAGGCTGCCCTTTGCGGCAGCAGCAGCATGGATTTACATTACGTGAAAGTGGAGGGAGCAGGCTGAGGGAGTGCTTTGGCACTGCACGTAATGCAGTGTAGCTGCCGGCCCCTGCTGTGCCAGGCGCTCCTTGTGCTCCTGCTCCCCGTGTCATGCCGCTTCAGCCTGATGCTTTCCTTGCCCTCGATTAGTGATCCACCAGCTGTGGGATAAAGAGATACAGTAAGCTCATCTGTTTATCTCCTGGGTTAGCTAACCCAACGGAAAAATTTGGAAAAACAGAACTATTTCAAAGCAGTGTGACCTGGTAGGAGCAAACAGTCAGGAGCACAAGGGGAAGAGAGCACTTTTTTTTTCTGGCAGAAGCTCAGGGTTTCACAGGGTTGGATATAACAAACTGCACCCTGAGACAGAAGGAAGTGGGGGGAGAAAAGGCTTGCTGAAATCTCAGAGTTCCTCTCAGGAGGAAGGGCCCATGCCTTTGTTCTGGGAGCCCCATTTACACCAGTGTGACTCAGGCTATTCAAGGGTCCTGGGAGAAGGGGGAAGCAATGACATGCAAGCTTTGAAACAGTCACGGGGTATTTTGGAAGGAGGAAAGGGAGGGAAGGAATCCACATTATAACAACAGACACAGAATTCTTTTTTTAGGATTAATCAGCGCAAATAACTGATGCCATCCAGACAGGTAAAAAAAGTCTGTTTCAGTAGGAAGTGGAGACTGTATAAAACTGTAATTGCAAGAGAGTGAAGTCAATGTGTAATAAACCTTATGGAATTCTAATCAACACTTACTTCTTAGTTTTAAATATTAATAGTAATAAATTTTTCTGTTTTTTTCACTCCAACAGTTCTGCTACAGAAAGAGATGAGTGGTTAGAAGCAATCTCCAAGTCAATTGAAGAATATACGAAAAAGAGAATCACATTTAATCCTAGCAAAAGTCTTGAAGAGGTATATCACACCATTACTGTTGTTTTGTTCTCTTTTTGAATATAAAGTTTCTTTGCAGGTGTTTAGAGAAACAGGAGGCATTCCATGATGAATAATAAAGCAGCATGGTAAATGATAAGTGAACAGATGATAGAACAGAATGATATTTCACAATGTTATCTACTTCATAAATTTAAAATTATTTCCTTCCAAAAAACCCAAACCAGCTTTCTCAGTTCTCGCAGTTATCTTGTGAACAGAAAGATGAAAAGGTTTTAAAATATAACAGCTATTGATATAAATAGGCTCGTAAAGCTTGAAAGTCACACAGTCTTTCTGAAGTAATTAAGAGCAGCTCTGTCTTCCGGCTTGCATTATAATGGTCACTGATGAAACAGTAGATAACATTTAAGACCGTGACAATTTATCAGAGAAGGCTTTCCAGTATTAATTAAAGTTAACTTCTAATCACTGATAAATGTAAATTTTATTTCTCTTCACTGAACGTAATGGTATTCTGCCTATGTTCTCTCAGGCAGATCCAGAAAAACAGGAAGAAGATAGTCCGCTGGGATCAAAGGCTCCGATCTGGATCCCAGATACTAGAGCCACTATGTGTATGATCTGTACAAGCGAATTCACGTTGACATGGAGAAGGCATCACTGCAGGGCATGCGGAAAGGTTGGGCAATTTTGTGGCCACCTTGTCAGGTTCCTTGTGTGACAAATACAGAGGGAGCCTGATGGCACCACAATGACTCTTTTAAGGGAATACTGTACTTTGACACAATTATATGGATTAAAAACAACAGGTTTGGTTGTTTGGGGTTTTTTTTTTGAGTAAGGTGTGATGACAGACCAGTGTTCAACCTTTTAACCTCTTACATTTTCTTATTTTGCATTTTGGACTACGTTTGTGGTTGTCTTCTGCTTCTGCAGTTAGGTAGTACAAATTAAGAACGTTAGCTACAATGAGAAAAATGTCTTCCTCATTAATTTTCATAAGATAAATAATTATTTTATTTTTAAGTTAGTACCAAACTGATTTTATATTTAACACTTATGAAATGTATATCTAATAAACCTTTATTTTTCTTGTTTTAATCAAGTGAGAATACAGAATTCAGTGCAGTTGAGACATCTGTGTTGTGGAGAAATTGTCAAGGGAGCAATGAATATAGTTATTTCTTTGAAAGCTTTTGATTTAAATAGTTCAGTAACACAGCAGGCTTATTCTACTTTTCATGGATTGTTAACATTGGCTTATTGACTAGTGTAATTTGGTGGTCTTTTTTTTTCTATTTACATTTTTATCATTTAGAGGAGGAAAGAGCAGTATGTTGAACTTAAGGACATAAGGAAAAGCCAAGGTCTTAAACCATTTTCCGTGTAAAGTACTGCCTATTTCAGGTTCTGTTATGGGCTTAACAGTACTGAAGTGCACGTCTTTGAGCGTTTGGTGATTTACAGGTGCACATCATGTACAATAATGCTTTTATCTGTTTCTAGATTGTCTGTCAAGCTTGTTCATCAAATAAACATGGTTTAGACTATATGAAAAACCAGCCAGCAAGAGTATGTGATCATTGCTTCAGGGAGCTACAGAAACAAGGTAAAGAAAATCTGCACAAACTGTCTATCTTATTTTTGTGGTCCTTATTGACATGGTATGTCTGCACCTCATCTTTACTGCTGGGTCCAAGTGCCTAATTCTGCTAGTGTCTGAAAAGCGATAGGTATCTGAGGTTGTAAGAGCCCAAACAAGTCTGTGGAGTAAGCTGGGAAGCGAATTTGCAATACACTGGTTCTTCCTTCCGGAAACACGCAAGGATTTGCCCTGCAATAAGGACCTGTAGCTTATGCTGCTTTCTTTTTGAGATAACTGGTGTTGCATTGCGTTTCATTAATCACTGAGTACAAGTGTACTTTTAAGTGCTTGTAGCTTGTCATGACCTCCCGGTGGGTTCATGTGTACTATTGCTCTCTGTAACTAATATGCTTGTAAACTTCATTTTTGCCAGCTAAGCTGCTGGGATAGCTCAGGTTCTGGGGATCTGTAAAGCCACAGACCTTCATCTTGCTGAAGCTGAGTCTCTTCAGCCTCAAGCCTTGGCTCATGTGGGATTCAAGAAGGTGGTATATCTGCACCTCAGTTCCAAGGGCAAACTCTTAATCGTTGCCTACCGCACACTGGCAGCATAGATTTCAGTGTGAAACACCATCGCTGGAACTATTTTCCTTGAAACACTTTCAGAGAATGTGGTACTACTGATGTGTGGTGGTACTAACTTTTGCTTCCTGAGGAGGTCCAGCGTCAGTTTCCTTCTCATCCTGAGGGAACTCAAATCTATGTCTTTTGAAGGAGCTTCATTTCATTATGCAGCAAGGAATGTAAAATCAGTGGGGGCACCTCCCATTGAGGTGAGAATCCAGTCCCATCTCGCAAGACTTGCTCTGAATTCTGTCCAAAGACTCTGGTGTAAAATACAGAAGTGAGCCGTAAGCAGGGACTGAAATGATTTGCTGCCCTTCCCTCTGGCAGAGGGACACAAGCTCTCTAGGGTATCAGGAAATCTGTGATGCCCCAGTGGAATAATCAAGCTGTGGCTTCCAGCTTGCTGGGAGTGGCCTTTGTCATGGGGATGTGGAAAGCTGCATCAACAACCCCTGAAGTGGTGGCGGGAGCCTGCTATGATGGGGAAGGCGGGTTGTCTGGACCACCTGCAGGTCTCTGCGTTGGGCACTAGAGGCTGCTGTGCTGCAGGCAATTGCAGCAGCAATTGCTGGGAAAAGAGCTGCAGAGCAGGTACAGTACAGTTGGCAACCCAGTTGCTCTCCTGCTTTGCTCGTTATTTCAGAGCCTCTCTATGTTCAGGGACAACTCTGGAAGTAGACTTAATGAAGTTACTCGTTCCAGACTGGGCTGTAAAATAGTGGTGGGTGTTGCCAGAAAAGGGGGTTTTAAAGGAATGAAGTGTTGCGGAAGTCTTCCAAGCGAGATGAAGGAACTGCCTGTGGCAGTGGAGAGAGACAGTATGTTCTTTGGAGATGGGAATCTCCAAAAGTGTGTGTGTGATGGCATGATGCTGAAGAGGAGCCTCACAGCATCCGTACTGAAAAAAGCTGAGAAGATAACAGATGTAGAGAACTGAAGGACGGACAGAGAGTTGGGGAACAGAGGTAGAGCACAGACTGGACTGCAGAGAACATCTCTAAAAACTTGGTGTGGTTTTAAAGAGTTGAATTTTCACCCTGTGTATGGGCAAAGGTAGTTCAACATCAAAAAAACGGACTTTGAAAACAAACTAGACAAATTTGTTTAATTGTAAATTTCTTGTGGTTTTTTAGCCTGATTGGGATTTGGGAGATTCTAACTCACGGTGTTGATGATAATACTGACAAGTTAATTCAACACTGAATTTAGTGTGACTAGGTGTTAGTCTGAAGTACTGTAATCAGTATAAAAGTATCAGCTGCTTTTTAGAAAAGAAGTCCAAGAAGGCCTGCGTTTAGTCATCTGTGACATGAAAGCAATATATTTATTCTATGCATTTTAGATAACCAGTGCACTCCTAAGAGTGGATCCCCAGTCAACCATAAATCTCCATCAAGTGCCTTGTCTACAGTATTACACAGTATTCCTTCTGGAAGAAAGCAGAAAAAAATTCCTGCAGCCCTCAAAGAAGTAAGTGCTTTATCAGTCAAAAGTAATGCCTTGTTGGTATTATATCATCAGTATTAACAATGAAAAAAATAATTCTGTATTTAGCGATCTTCTCTAGAATCAAAAGTCTAAATTTGCCTGTAACAGTGGTTTGGGCCTTAGTTTTATATAGGCAGGGACCTGAACTATGAAGCATTATATAAACTGCACAAAGACCTGTGAGACTGTGATTCAGTGAGATAGTCAGAATTGTAATTTCTTTCTTGCTTCCCTGTGTTTCAAGGAATTGTGATTTACCTCTGCACCAACAGTTAATGAGAAGACTTCTACACCAAATCAGCTCTTGGCTTATCATTAGGAAAGACAGAGCTAAACTCTGCCTACCTACACTGTGGAGGTCTTGGGATGGAAGGAAGTAATTTTTTCTTTTTGTGTAGGAATGTGTGTTCTCCAGCTGTACGTGGTCCTCAGTGTTTCAGCCCTCTCTTGTCCTGTTGCATCTAATTTAAGTTCCAACCCTTAGTGACTGCAGAAACCTCTTTTCCAGACCAGATAGATGATGGCAGACAAAATCTTTTTTCTTTCAGCCATCTGAGTTAATTGGTAACATTAACTTGAGATCAGGTGTTTTGCTTTCACCTGGATAAATGCCAGGTGCCCACAAAAACTGTGCTATCAGTCCCCCTCCTCAGCTGGACAGGGGAGAGGAAATATGATGAAAGGCTCGAGGGTTGAGATAAGGACAGGGAGAGATCACTCACCAATTACTGTCACGGACAAAACAGACTGAACTTGGGGAGAAAAGGGAGTTTAATTTATCACCAATAAAAACAGAGTAGGATAATACGAAATAAAACCAGATCTTAAAACACTTTCCCCCCACCCCTCCCTTCTTCCCGGGCTCAACTTCACTCATGTTTCTCCAACTCCTCCACCCCAAGCGGCTCAGGGGACGGGAAATGGGGGCTGCAGTCAGCTCCTCACATGTTGTCTCTGCTGCTCCTTCCTCCTCAGGGGGAGGACTCCTCATACTCTTCCCCTGCTGCAGCGTGAGGTCCCTCTCATGGGAGACAGTTCTCCACAAACTTCTCCAACGTGAGTCCTTCCCACAGGCTGCAGCTCTTCAGGAACTGTCCCAGCGTGGGTCCCTCCCACGGTGTGCAGTCCTTCAGGAACAGGCTGCTCCAGCGTGGGTCCCCATGGGGGTCACAAGCCCTGCCAGAAAACCTGCTCTGGTGTGGGCTCCTCTCTCCATGGGTCCACAGGTCCTGGCAGGAGCCTGCTCCAGCGTGGGCTCCCCATGGGGTCACAGCCTCCTTCAGGCATCCACCTGCTCCGGTGTGGGGTCCCTTCCACGGGCTACAGGTGGATATCTGCTCCACCGTGGACCTCCATACACTGCAGGGGGACAACCTGCCTCACTGTGGTCTTCATCACGAGCTGCAAGGGAAAACTCTCTGCTCTGGCACCTGGAGCCCCTCCTCCCCCTCCTTCTTCACTGACCTTCGTGTCTGCAGAGTTGTTTCTCTCACACTGTGTCACTCCTCCCTCTCGACTGCCGTTTCACCACAGTTTTTTTCCCCTTCTTAAATATGTTATCACAGAGGCACTACCACTGTCGCTGATTGGTTTGTCCATGGCCAGCAGTGGTCTGTCTTAGAGCCGGCTGGCACTGGCTTTATCAGATATGGAGGAAGCTTCTCGCAGCTTCTCACAGATGCCACCCCTGTAGCCCCCCCACTACCAAAACCTTGCCACGCAAACCCATAACATCAGGTAAGAATTTGAGTCTTTGAGAGGACAGCTTTCTGGAGATCTGTTTTAAAAAAGCTGTACTGCAAAAACCTAGACAGATGCATAACTCTTGGGTGTTGGGGTTTTTTTCACTTCAGGTTTCAGCAAATACAGAAGACTCCACAATGAGTGGCTATCTACACAGATCTAAGGGCACTAAGAAACCATGGAAACACCTATGGTTTGTTATAAAAAATAAGGTGCTATACACATATGCTGCTAGTGAGGTAAGAGCCTACATATTAGAAATCAAATATCCAATGATAATACTGTATTTGTAGTAAAATTGGTTATTTTTATGATCTAGACCCAAGCTGTAAAAGTAGATCACCCTACAGTAGTGGATCTGATTGTGATGTAGTATTTTGAAAAGGCCCAGTGAGCTTGGTACCCTAATATGCTGATACAGCTATGCTGTTTCTGATTCCAGACCTAGCTTTGAGTGTCTCTGCACTGCACACCATTGCACAGTTGTAGGTATGTTCTGAGTCAGTTGAATACATGGGAGTCTCTTTAGATGCATCACACTGGACTAGCAGCAAAGCCAACATTATAAAAGCATCTTGAAGTGTTTTGTTCTGCAGTTCAATAAAATATTTTAAATACTTGGAAAATGAGCAAACTAAATCTCTTGACTTCCCCTCAAACTGTCTTAATCAGCCTGGAGTTATTATTTAATGCACAGTGCTGCAGTGTAAAATAAGAAATGCATCTTGTCTAATGGCATTTGCTTTTTTATTTAGAATGTGTAGTCCTATTCAGTGTGGAATAATCTCTAACCAATATATATAAACTCTGCACATCCCAGCATGTGCTAAGGCTGTAGTTATATTGTATCTTGCAATGTTTTGCAACATATATGGATGTAGTGTAGCACTGGAAGATACTGGTTTTTGCTTTTTTGTATTGCATCTTGTAGTTTGCTAATAGCTTTTGAGAGCAAAATATCCAAAGCATCTGTTTAAAGGTATTGCTGTCCCTCACTTTCTTGCAAAATGTAAGGCTCAACCTATCCTGGACATGTAAAGAATTACCCTTCTTCATCCCCACGCCACCTTGGCACTAGTTATTTCCTGGTTTGTGCTCAGATTTGTTCCTAGGTTGTCCCTGCTGTAGTGCCAACCTTTATTTTAGAACTGAATTATGTCCAGAACCTGTAATGTTATTTCCACCACAGCATTTGCATAGTAAAAAAACCAAAGATTTGAAAAATATTTTAGAGCATTGTGTCTCTTCTGGCAGTTGCAAAGGAGACTTTGGCAACTGTAAAGAAAAGTGTGTTAGTCTGTGACTACAAAATAAACTCTTTCCTAGTTTCTTTAAACTAAGGAATATCTGTTGTTATTTTTGATCTTGATGAGCCATTGCAGGAGACTGTTCATAGAGTCTCAAGGGAAGATTATGATGGCTGGTCCAGTGTGGCCTTAGCCAGGAAACCACACCTAAACTATTTATATTTGTTTGAGGTGATATAAAGATTAGTGGTAAAAAGACCACTTAGTGGTGGTACAAAGACCTAAGATGGTAAGGCAGGTTGTTAAGCCTTACTTGACTGTTTCCCAAAGGCAAGAAATGCCGCTTTCACAGGATACTCGTTTCAATGTAGAGGCAATTACCGAAGTCTTCACCTGATGTGTCAGTGTTTATGTACCTTCTTTGTTTATTTCTTCTATCCAAAATCATTGCAGGACCCTGTCGAGTTACAAAACACTGTTTTGGAATTTGCACAGGATGAAAATACATCCCCCAAAATGCTGTGCGTTGTATTTATTAATTAAAAGACTAGAGTATAAAAAAAAAGGAAGTAATTGAGATGAACGAGGAAGGGGAAAGGTCGCCTTTTTAGCCAGGTTTTGAAATAAACGAAGAGAAGGTAAAAAGGTACAGCTTGTCTTGCTACTCTTTCCTAGCCAACCACTTGTGAACACTGAGCAACTTTTTTTCCCTATCCTGTTAATTTTCAGCAATAGAAGGCAAAATAAGTTTAGCCACCAGAAGTATTTGGAGTGTGAGTGACTCCAGCACTTGAGAACATAGGTTGCCATAGCTCCTCCTTTTAGCATACTCTGTGCAGCTAATAGAATCCCACATCACTTCTAAGACATGAAAACTTGCTGCTAAAGATGCTGGAGAGAGCACTGGGCTAGGTGGACCTTTGGTCTGCTGCCAGGTGGTGGTCGATCTTTTGACAGAAGTCATCCTTACCAGGCAGAATGATGAGACTATACAGTGAAAAAGGCAAGGTAGACGTTATCAGGGAAATAAAAAGAGGAACAGTTATATTCAAGTCTACGAGGTTTTGTTATTTGCTGTCGCTTGATTCATGCATGGAGACTATAGGAAGTGGCATTTTGTGCATGACTATTTGTAACAACTTATATAATCTGCTGCAATGGTGTTGTGCATGAGTGGAGTCTAAATGCATTCCTTAATGTGTCTTACAAGCTCTAATTTTGTCTTGTTTGCTTTTTCCCCATAAAATAGGATGTGGCAGCATTAGAGAGCCAGCCTTTACTTGGATTCACAGTCAGTGAAGTAAAAGATGAAAACTCAGAGTCTAGAGTCTTCCACTTACTGCACAAAAACACTTTATTTTACATATTCAAAGCAGACGATCCCCATTCAGCTCAAAAGTAAGAAACGATTTGAATTGATTTCTGTTACTTTTTTCCTGGAAAATGTTTCAGAAGTCAAGGATGTTAATATTCACAGATTAAGCATATGTACAAAAGGTGCATATTATATAATGTGTAAGTTAAACTTTTAAATTACTTAAACACAAGGTTTTGGTTTCATTAGGACTTCTGAAATACATTAAATAAAGAAGCAGACTGTCCTCTGCAAAAGAATGAATGTAGGAGAATGGAAAAGTCTAAGATAAAATAAATCTTTCTTTCTCCTGGCCTATTCCTCTATCCCTGGTCTGCTCAAGTGAAAATGGAATGTTACCTTTGGAGAAATCCAGAAAATGTGTGTTAAGAATTCACTGATGTGTCTCTTTTTTTATTTCCAGCTGTAAATTTTAGTTATTTTTAATGAATACATGGCATTGAAAAATAAAGCAAACCTTAAAAAGTAAGGGACAGAAGTTTGAAGTGTGTGTGCAGATGTGCCTGAGCACATAGCCACGCTTAGTATGTTCAGACCACAAGCTTGAATTCAAAGAACTCTAGCACAATCTGTTTCATTTCCAGTCCTGCTGATGTGTCTGAGTTTGGAGTCATATTAATTTTGTGTGTGTATTTTGGATAAAATAACCTCAAAGCTTGGTCATTAATCAGTAGAAAACATTTGCTATATGAATCATGGAGTAAACTAGAGATGAGTATGGAAGCAATACATTTAAGTTATCTTGACTATATGCCTAGCTTATCTGTCTGGTTTCACTGCAGTTTTCCCAAGTGAATTTTACATTATTAAAATAGATTTCATGCACTAATTAGTCCATTATTAATACTTCAGCATTCAAATGGCTGCAGGTCTAGTTTTGTGCAAATAGGCATATTCTAAAAAAACAAAGTACCAGGACAACTGAAAATTTTGAACAGTTGAGAACGTGCTGAATGACACTTCTCTACACACAAAATCTGGAAGTCTTTATTTGATTTTTGGGGGTATTTTGTCTGCAGATGCACACAAATGTTTACTTGTTAATTAAGATAGTATTCTCTTGTTTCCACTGTGTCCTCATTTGTGCTATATAAAACAAAACTAAAAAAATCCAAGGCATTCAATAGCTTTGTTTTCCTATTCCGACAATGACTTTTTGTCATCAGTAGGGAAACTTGAAATTGGACATACTCTATTTTACTGAGGCTAGAGATAACGTTAAATACCTTAAATTGCAAGTTTTCTCCAAGTATTTAATATCCTTAGGAGGTTTATGTTGAACCTCTAGAATAAATGCTGCTTTGACAGCATTAAAATAAAAAATCAAAGAACTTGCTGTCAGCCTGTTTGCATTTTTTTTCTGTTAGACCCAAAGAAATATCTGATGTATTTGTGTAAGTGCAGTAATAAATTTCAACAGGTGTTTACTTTTTGATAGCTTTTATATTTTTTAGTCCAGTACTATGTTCAATGCTTAAGCTGTTTATGAATTTCTTGTATTCCATTTCAGTTATTTTTAATAAATATATGTCAGTGAAAAATACAGTGAGCCCTAAAAAGTAAGGGATGCAAGTTTGAGTTGTGTGTGCAAACAGGCATGAGCACTTATACATACTTAATATGTTCATACCAAAAACTTGAATTCAAAGAATGTGCACACAGTTATGAAGTGAAACGCTCAGGGCGAAGAACAGCCAACATCCCTGACTAACATTTAGATACCCTGTGAATGTAAAGACAGGTTTGAATTTCCATGATAAAGATAAATTTACAGTTTTTGTCTCATTCACTTCTTGCAAGATTTTCACTTGGGAGAAAAAATCATTAATATGTGGGCCCCTTAACTATACATGCACACAGTACAGCCCTCACTCAGAAGACAGAATTATTCCATTTTTTACTGTATTTGTCAGCATAGCATCGGAGTGCTTCAGAAACATTAATTTTTGCAGCATCCTCGAGAAGGTGAGGCTGTTAATCACCCTCTTAATCAAGTCAGAACAGAAACCATAGCTATAGGGGGCAAAAGTATCTGAATATTAACTTTGAATTTGCAGTCTGAGACAGGCTGGTTCGGCTTTTTGGGACATCCCCCTTTCCTTTACATATACTTGTATTTTCACGGATGTCACGTGCAGGGTGTCAATGTGTTATTCAGTAGTAGCACACATTGCGTGTGTGAATCCAGGGGAAGTTCTGTCATCGTGCAAAGGCACCATTCCTCCACCCCAGCCCACAGGCCCTGTGGCTTCCTCCCTCAGCCCCACTGGTCCTTTGCCAATGCCTTTGTGCCAGCTGCAAAAGCAAGGGCATGGGTTGTGCAGATGGCTGCTTCAGTTATTGTGGTGTCCCCATTCATCCCAGATCATGTTTGCCATGAAATGAGTTAAGGGAGTATTGGGTTTTTTCTAAAGGTATGCAATCGTGTTATTAAAGTTGGCAGAACCTTGGCATTTCCTACTTTTAGAGCATTTGATTCCCCAGCTTCACTTGTTCTTTATGTGTGTAACTTCAGTATGGAAGAGGTACACAAAAAAAAAGTGTTTGTCATCTGGCCTGGTGCTGATACCTAATATGTCTCCAGCAAGCTTTGTATGTTTGGACTGGTTGGACAGATTTCTGGCATTTGCAGTAACAAACCAGCTGGTAATGGAAGCGTGATGTTGCTTCTTGTGTGAATCTGCAGCTAGTCACAGCAGTGTGATTTGTACTTTTACCAGCAACTTCCCAATGCTGTTTAATTTCCTCATAGGTGGATAGAAGCTTTTCAAGAAGGCACCATATTATAGCAGTGTCGGCATCGTGTCTGCAAGTTTAAAGGAAAATGTCCGAGGACGGTGGTAAAACAGAGCACAGCAGCTGTTCAAAGAAACGGAATCCTGCCGTCTCAACCTACACAGAATTGTATATTTGTCAGGATTAAGAGTTGTTGCATTTTTGGTGTAAGGTAATATTTTTTTAAAGAATTGTGTGTATTTCTGTGTTGATACAAAATGTGTTATTTATTAAATTCCAATGTTTACTTTAATGGTCAGAATTATTTGTGAGGTCTGCAATGATGTCCAAAGCGCCCATGTCTTCAGAATGGCAGGTGGTTGGTCTACATATTCCTAACGTTTGTGCTTTTTTAAAAAAAAACAAAACACAAAGCAAATCTGTTGCAATTGTACAGTTCGTCATGATTTTTGTATAGGTCTTGAGTTGCTGATGCTCCCTTTGCAATTTAGCAAGAACAGATCAGAATAGGAATTTCAAAGGTTCTGGATCTTTGTTGGCTATATGAACTCCTTTATGAGAAGTTGTATAATAATGCTGCTTCTTTCCTTGAATGGCAGTTGAAGTCTTGCATACCAGCACATTAAAACAGTACAACAAATTCTGTATCACAGAAGTAGTTGCAAAGTACAGTTCAATTATTAAAAAAGGGAAAAATATTTTAAAACAGACTTTGCAATTACAGAGATAAGGCACTAGAACTTTTACAGTACTACAGATGCCAAAGAGACTAAATGAGTTATCCTCAAACAATTGCAGAATATATTTTCTTTTATGTTTCCAGTAGTAATTTAAAGCAGAGTAAAAAACACATTTTTTATATAGAGGGCAAAGATGAAATATCTTATTTGTTTCAAAACTTTGTGTCAAATGCGTTCTGTATGCAGTATGAAACACTGTATAACCTATTGTTCAAAGAACATTAAACAAGTATATGCATCCCCCTCTCTCAAAATTTTTAACTATTGTATATTTAAATATTGTGTTTAAACTGGAATTGCCATACCAAGAAAACCCAGCTTTTTTAATGCGGGTGGCATTGAAATGTATACCATTCTTTGAAATACCTTTTGTTTACACTATGATTTGTTCTGTTCGACACTTTAAAACACAATTCAGTTTTAGGTGTTTGGGTCTTTTTTTCTTTAAGAAAATTGTCTGTATACCTCATTAGGAAATACTTAGTGATGATTCTGGTGCATTTATTCTATTTAACTTTTGAAAAAATTTTAATACTGTAATAGCATAAATGGAACTAGAACTATGAAAAACACATGAAAGGAAGCCATTTTAATGTCAAATGCGAGGCATATGTAGCCAGTTATTTTTACTGTATGAAACACTTCTCAGTAGTCCTCTGAATCAAGCTAGTGTTGGAATTAAGAGCAGAATTAAAAGCAATTCCCTTTTAATTAATAGTTTGAATCCATGTTAATACCTATTCTATGGCTATTGTATTTCCTCACAAAGGAAGGAGAGGAGTCATCACAGAAAGGCCAAGAATGAAAATGCAAACTGAAATTCTCTTATTCCCTCAAATACCTCAAGATCGTGTCTAAGATACTAACATAGCTCTGAAGAAGCTTGATTTTGCAGAGCTTCTGTTAAGTTAGTAGCGGGCTTGGAAGCCTAATGCTTAATATAAAGTGTACAAGCAATGTCATTGGCTTCGAGCGTTTCTGTGGAGTACCTTTCTGAATCAGGGACTTACTTAAGGCTGTAGATCTGGCTTCCCTCGCGAATGCTAGAGGTTTGACCAGATAGTGTGTGAAATCCAGTGGGAGTCTGATCAAAGCCTTTATTCTCTTTTATTTTAATACAAAAGTGATAAATGAATATTTTTCTCATTATATATAAAGGGCTTTTACTTAATTTTCAAAACCAGCTGCTGACTGAAGCCACGTAAGCTATTAGCATGTCTCTTCAGGGTGATTTCTGATGTAGTTTTTACTGTATCCAAAACAAAACTGACACCAATGTAACACAGATGTG